TCTTCCTCACGTTGAGGTGGAACTTCCTGGGCATCAGTTTCTGCCCATTCCTCTTGATCCATTGCTGGGCACCACCAAGAACAGCCTGGCTCCATCTTCTTGGCACCCCTCCTTCAGATATTTGCAGACATTGATGAGGTCTCCTCTCAGTCGCCTCTTTGCAAGGACCAGAGATTTGTGAGGGTGCTGGACCAGCCATGCAGCTTCCCCCACTCACTTGAAGATAACTTGTGCTGTTATTTTCTGTTATTTTTAAAAGTCACTTCATGGGCCAACAAAGAAACAATTCACATGAAGATTAGGGTGCTTGGGAAACAAACACAGCTGTGACAGGCAGAGCAGGTACTGGATACTGAGCACTGATGTCCATCAAGGAGCTGACTTGCATGCAGTGGCTCTCACACTGAGCCAACACAGCATCAAGATCTGGTCCCACCCTACCTAGCTGTGCTATTACGCATTCCCTTCTACAGAAAACTTCACTAAAGAATCAAAGACCTAAATGATCTGAAAGCAAACTGAACTATTGAAGTGAATGTGATTGGTCCAGGCTGGAAATCAACACAGAACTTGGTTCTGATGATTTTGGCTGCACTTGGAGAAGTGTCCCTCACCTCATGATCTCCCTTTTGTGCCAGAGAGTGGTCTACTATGTGTCTCAGTCCAATCTCACTCAAAATCTCCCTTGTCCTAGGGTCACATCGTGAAAATAAATGGTAACTGTGTCAATCTAAGGTGCCTTTTTGCTCCAGTTGGCACAGGAGCTGGACAGTACAATGGAAGCTGAGGTGAGAGGGAGGTTATCTCCTTTACTTGCCTCCTCCACTGAGTGTCTCATGGTAACTAGTCTGGGGCAGTGGATTAGACTGATCCGAGATATTTTCCCTTCTAAAGCATTTCCTGTCTTTAAACATTAAGTTCCCAGGTGTGGAATTTCTCCTTCACCTCTCTCTATTTCCCAGCAGGTTTTACATTATCACCTCGCTGAATATATTATGATAAAGTTTCAAGATTCTTTTGTAAAAATGCACCTGCCATCTCCCACTGAGTGTATTCAAGTGAAATAGCTGGCCATGGGTTTACAATGGTCCCAGTGGAGCAGAACACATAAAACATGCTGTGCATGGCAGATAAGAGGAGAAAAATAGAAAATTATTGAGCTGTAATTTTATTATCGGCCCTCAACACCCTGAACAGACAGACCTGACTCTTTGCAGTAGACTACCTGACTGTGAACACTGACATTTAATTTGCTGTGAGGGGAGAGAAATAAATGCAATTCTCTAGCAATTACAAGAATTGTTTAAGAAATAAAAACACAACTTTTGCCATAAACCTTGCACCACTGAAAGGGGGTTTGCTCTGGATTTCTGTAGAGTTAAGATTTCACCCTGGGGATTTATAGTTTCTGGGTATGATCAAAGAAGAAGAAAAAAATGTGACACTGCTTTGCATGACTATAAATGACATGCGTCTGAATTTGAGTTGGCATTAGGCAGGGGACCCCAAGCTTCCTTGGCCTGTAGGCAGCAACACTGATCAGTTAACATGCTCAGACAACATCATACTTTGCTCCCCGAGTCAATCAAGGTCCCAGCCGTGATGGCCATAAACATCAGAGAATCCTGCAGGCAGCTCGTTCCATGTGCAAACACACTTACCATGCAAAACATCAGAGAACTAAAGCTCCACAGTCAGCAGTGGAATAAACAATGCAGCCAGAGGGGGGTTTTCCTCCCCCCACTCCCTAGTAAGTCCCACCCCAGATGACCAGCAAGTGTATATTCCCTCAGAGACAGTCATTACCATGCCACAGTCTCACTGGGCTCTATTCTCCCTAAGCTGTCAGGTTGGATGCTCCCACCACTTTTTTATGCTGATCAGTTTTGTTGGGTTCTCAGTAGATCTTTATTTTCCCCTACTAGTTTGTATCCACCTGTAACATTTGTGTTCCACTTACATGAGAAACTCTTCCATTACTGGGGAATCTAAGGAATTGTGGAGACCCAGTAGAAGCTCATCAGCCTCGAGCAGCATTGCCCTACAGGTAGCAATACCCTTGGGGAGGGATCTCCAGTGTGAAGAGATTCTCAGGAAATCAGGATTTCTCTCATAGCTGCGAGGAAAAGGAAGGGGTTGCTGCTCTGCTCCAGCAGTTACTGCTTCACCACACCAAGGCTCACAAGAGCATAGCCCGAGTTTCACCAGGACATCTCACACCCCCGCTCTAGACAGATCACACCTGCATGCAAAGTGTCCATTGTCTTGATGTCTAGGTGCAAAGATGTTGGATGTTCTTGTTTCCACTTGTGAGCTTATCAGAGAAAATGGATTTTTATCTTTAATCATTCTATTCTTTCTAATTTAGAATCTCTCTTTTCTCATACATTTCTGTAGACTTTTTTCCCCTCAAGAATTATGCTGTCATGGCCATCGTGATAGAGTCTACCTGCACACAGAACTCACATGGTTGTGGCTGCCCCATCCCTGGAAGTGTTCAAGGCTGGGTTGGAAGGGGTTTGGAGCAACCTGGGATAGTGGAAGGTGCCCCTGCCCACAGCAGGGGGTGGAATAAGATGAGCTTTGAGGTCCCTTCCCACTCAAACCACGTTCTATGAGTCTATGATTATTGGTAACATGAATGACAAGCATGCAGAAGAAACAAGCCCTGAATTAAAATGCCATCATGTTTGTTTTGCCATCTTTGTTAGAGCAAACTCCTTCTCATGTGAGACATTTGTGACCACTGAGATAACTGAGGGATTCACAGAAGTCTGTTGTCTGAGCCGTCACCTCTTCCCCATCAATCTAGATTATTTTTCCATATTTATTTGTATTAATAATGAATTTGTATAATTTATATCATATTTAAATCACATCTGACTGGATGACTGAAGGCAGAGTACTTCCAATGGGAAATGGTGCAGGGAGGGCTTGTTTTAATCAATATTCAGTGAACACACATAGTAAAATCAGAGCAGAACTTTTTTTGCTAAAGCAGCATTCAGTTTCTGAACTGTCTATTCCTACATGAGCATTTCTATGTCTATTTCTTACCAAATAATGTATTTGTTGTGTTTCTCAGGACACACATAAGCACTCCATAGGATTCTTCCAGCTCAGTCCTTATACTCTCTTTGTGTTTATCCTCATGAAGATGTTTCACTCCTGAGAGGCACAGAAGCCCTTTGCCTTCATTTATAGTGAGTGGTGATTAACCACATGCTGGGTGGAACTCTTTCAGCAGAGCAGTCTTCACAGAAACCCCTTTACAAATGACCCTCTTTAGAATGAGCTGGTAGTCTTTAAAACCCATCAAGTTCATCTTTGTCACAGGGTTGAAGAGGCTCCAAAGTGAAATTATGCTCCAAACTTGGTTATGCTCCATATACACCACAACTACTAAGGAGGCTTTTCATTCCCATTACATTTTTCATTCAGTAATCTCAAGGCATTTTGTGGATTTATATAATTTGTCCAAAGAGTTCAGCAACTGTTACACACTCAAAGCAGGACAAGGCTGCTGGTTGAACAAAACATGAACAACTTAAAAAAGACCTTGAGGAGGGGTTTGTATAGATTTAGTGCAGTTGTAGGGATATAGTCACCTGGTATTAAATCACACTCTCATGGCTCTCTGTACATTATCTAAAGCCATGCAATCAATACCATAAAGTTTAGGAAGAGGCCAAATCCTGTCAGTTGGCATGAATGATCACAGCTCCTCTCTCTGGCTGGGTTACAGAACCTGAGAAGGTATTCTTTTGTATCCTCCCTGCCAGAAGGATCCTCTGTGCAAAACAGAGATTATAAACAGGGGGAGTTGGTGCCCAGCTTCCTGCCCCAGGGACCCCTCAGGTATGGGACAGGGGGCAGCTGGAACATGGCACATCCTGAGGACACTGCTCAGCTGCCCCACAGCTGCAGCACCATTAACACTTGCTCTAACTTCCACAGAGCAGGTTTATAAAGTACTAGACAGTCTTATAATGGCAGCTGACAGCAAATCCACTCCTACACCGTATTCTTAACCGTCTTCCCAAATTTTAAAAGGCTACTCTCATAAATAGAAACTGTGAGGACTCCTTTGTTTATTCCATGAAATCCGAAGATGACTACAATATTCTGAGGCATGGAAAATGCTAGTCTAGCGTGTTCCCAAAAGCATGTTTCTGCATTTCTAGCCAGTGTGCCATTTACAGTATGAGCTACTGTAATAGACTTGCTTTTGCATGATGGCTAATTGCATTTTTCAGTGACACGTGGCACGGGCTATACCATGTCACTGGTTATTCTGTTTATGGGGAACATGTACTGGTTGACATAGCGTGGTTCCTCCAGTAATTCCTGATCCTTAAGGGCCTGAAAGTTCACAGAATAAAATTCACAG